AAGAGGGAGATCCCAAGTTCACAGCTGCAAACTGTCACATGCATGTATAGCTGGGTTCCCATCTCATCTCACCACCCTGATGGAAGATATGCTGTGAAGAACTGAACCAACTCTGCAGAGCAGGATACACTGGTCCTTGTGGCCACCCTTCTCCTACAGATATTTTTTGGATTGAATTAGCAGGGAGAGAAAGACTGGATCTTGATATTAACCAAGCACTGGGGAAGGAATTAAAGACGGTAGAAGGCAAAGAAAAAACAAAAGCACTTTGGTGGGATAATGGATACCGTTCTAGGTATCAAACCAGCCACAAGGCCCATAGCATGCATCAAGTTGGCCAGCTCTCATGTCTTGAAAAGGATTTTCTCTCAAACAGGAATGGCTTCTTTGTTCTGACTGTGTCCATCTTGACTGTTTTTTGTTTTCTGTTTTTGTTTTGCTAATTATGTTGGATTCTCTCTCCTGGATATGTATCTGGAATAACAATAACCTACTATGAGACAGCTGAAAATCACCAGTCAATTAAGACACAACTTAGGGAATGTCATACAGCCTTCCACAAATTGCTGTCCTCCAAATATACTGGGCACAATTCCCACAATTCCTCAGCCAGCATGAAATTTGGCCATGCTAAAGAATTACGGGAATCAGTGGTATCAAATTACAAAAAATTGCTCTACTGAGGCCTGCAAAACAGCAGTATATTAGTGAATATGAATGGAATGAAATACATTCAGGCCAAATTCCTAAATTCAACTTGTACCGTGGCAGGTAGTTGACAAATGGGACCCACGGGGTGCTGAAAGTTAGTATCCTCAGACAGACCCACATAATGCATACTCTGGCCTTTCTCCCTCTCCATTTGTTTCTCAGGGTTGCTGTTCATTTATACACCAGAGTTTCCCACCCACAAGTAAAGCAATATCTCTATGTGTTGGATAGTTAAAGAAATGCTGTCATTTTTTTTCTGAGCACTGTAATGCTGATCACAAAATCTACTTTTAACAAACTGGGAACTGGATGATATCAAAAGAAAAGAATATGTCTTTTATTCTTTTTTAATCTCTCAAGAGAACTGGAAATTCAACTATAGTTTTAAGTACAAACGCTTGAAAAAGACCACACAGACAGGTCAGGAACAGAATATAATTTGTTTGTTTTCCTGAAATCTCTTTGTTCCACCCCCCACCCCACCCCCAATTAATGGTGCTATCAGGCATTCTGGGAATAAAGCAGCCCAACTGCACAATGAAAATCTCACTTATAACCACCCTAAATGTAGAATATTTTACCCAGTGTCTAACTGCTTCAGAGTTAAATTGAACAAGAGTTCTCTATCCTCATGAAACTGATAGCAATATTCCCAAGTTTTAGAATATATGCAAAGGGAAATTTGCATTTTCTTCCACATAGTTCCCTTCTCCGATCTCCAGATTACCGTCTGTGATCTGTCTCAAATGAAGGCCATAAATATGAGAATTCTTACACATCTAACAACAATGCACCAGAATCCACTTGCAAAGCTTTTTCTGGATTAGATAATGTACTGCTTCAAGAATGTTATGGTAAAGGTACATGCCTGAATGATCCTCTCTAGGAGTAAAAAAACATGTCACCAAAAAACCTAGAAGGAACTTTTTCTAACTTGTTTATTCACCATATGCAAGACGTTTGACTTTTGTTTCTGATATGCAAACAAATCCTTTCATTTTCTGAGTGTCTGGGACAATGTTACTTGTCCATTTTGCTGAATATATGAATATTCTGGACAGCCCTCAATATGATAAAGTTCTTGCTTAGCCCTGTAGGAATGAGAAAAAAAATTGGACTAGAAAAGAATTCCCTTTGTTCTCATGCTGTGTGGGCTTGTGATGTGTATAATTGTAGTTTCACATCAACTCAGGTTCTTATTTGGGTACAAATAGGAGAAACAAAACTGATCTGGAACTGGGGGGAGGTTGTGTGTATTTTGAGGGAGAAATATGTCAAGCATATGGGATGGGGTTAATGGAGGGTCAGGAGGCATCATTACTGAAGTATACTGGGAGAAAAGATGTTGAAGAGAGAAGATGGACACTGTTGTAGTTTTGTGCCAATAAACAACATTGGATGAGAGCTTCAAAGCAGCTTTGTACTCTTTTTATTCCATGTAGGGTTTCAGAGAATTTGAGGATGAGGTTGTATACTAGCCACTTCCATTATTATAAATATCATTTGGAAAGTTATTCAAATTATTATTCTATAAAACATTTTGTAATTAAAATCTAGAAAAAAGAAAAGCTTCAATCAGATTATCTTTTTCAATAAAAAATGTTTTTAAAGCATACATTGTTGGCATGGAAAGGCAAGTCTAAATGGGGCTGATATAAAGTTTTTTTTTGAAATTTTGAAATTACACTGATACCTAGACATGTGTAAGATTTGTGAATCCATATGAATGGATATGGAATTTGACTACATATCACTACGCTTGATTTTTTAAAAGCCTCATCCTTAAAATAAGGAGAGTTTATTTATTCATAGGGTAATTTGAATCAAGAAATCTTTTACTGTGATTAACATTTAAGTATATAAAAACCTGAAATAAATATTTAGAATTGGCCTTCTTAAACTAGAGCTCTGTATTGCTACTAAGGAATTTTGAGGTACTCCAATGTATTTTGGAGACACCAATATTGAAAATCAGTAATTAGGAAAAGGGTGGGGAACACTGTGCAAATATCACACAGCGTTGAACAGGGCTATTTTAACATATTCTGTCCTCTGCTTCCACAAGCAACTTAAATAGCATAATCTGGATGTAACAGTGAGGTTCAAACGTTGTCTCTGGTTCTACTTTTCCAGAATGTGCGATCACTAAGTGATTCAATTATTTAGCGAGTTACCATGTGACTGGACCTCATTTCTATTGCAGTTCTTAAGTGAATCACTGTGGTTGTGAAGCAAATCATGCAGTCATTTAAGGGAATCCAGTTTACCCCATCGACTTTGCTTGTTGGGACCTGGGAGGAAAGGTCACAAACGCCATCACATGACTGCAGGATGCTGTAACTGTGGTAAATGCCAGGTGCCCAAATTGTGATCACAAGATTGCGGGGCGGTGCAACAGTCATAACTCTGAGGAGATATCATAGGTCCCTTCTTTCAGCACCATTGTGATTCCAAACCATTGTTAAATGAAATGGTTGTAAATTGAGAATTTACACTGCTAGATTACAGCACAGAGATACAAAATACAGAAACGTCTTGCTTCTCAATGCCATCTAGTTTAAGTCATCCAGATACTTGCAGCTCAGTATTCATGGTTTCTTAGCTGCTGCTACTACTAACAGAAACCATGCTTCTAAATTCAGTGTCGTGTGCAATGTCCAATAGAAATCTTGTCCATATGTATTAACAATTCCCTTTTAAAACGGCTACTTCTTTTTTAAAAATTGCCATCACACTTCCCTTTAGAGTTATCTTAATGCAGACCAAAATAAAAAGATCGCCCGCCGTCATGTTTGGAGCTGCCGCTTCCGCGTTTCGAGCTGCCGCCGTGTTTGGAGCTCCAAATGGCGGCGGCACTCCAAACACGGAAGCGGCAGCTCCAAACGTGGCGGCGGGATGGGCAGAAGGGAAAGCAACAGCGGCGGGTGCCAAAGATCTTGGGTCTGCAGCAAAGGTGTTTGGTGGGAGTAGGGAGCTTTCCACGCTTCGCCATGATCGCCCGTTAGGAGCAGCTGGTGGTGAGGAATTGCTGCCCGTGGGGCGCTCCTAACGGCAAGTCCCCCCCGCCCTGCCCCCCTTTTTTGCATGTTTTAAAATAGGCCTAAATTTGGGGGGAGGGGCTTAATTTGATTTTATGCCAAAAAAACATGCTGGGCCTTCCTATTGGTGGAGGCCGTATTGTTGGAGAAACACGGTAAAAGATTCTTCATACCATCCCTGGACTGTCTCTGCACCTCCCATAGGAAGGTGCACCTCAATTTAGGAAAGCTTGTATTAAAACCATGTTTCTGGCCATATTTGTTGCCATTATATTTATTTATTTGATTTGTCAATCGCTTACAAAATAATAGGTATAAGTATAAACATGAGTAAGAATACAGGAAATAGGTACAATAGGACAGGGAAGGTAGGCACGATGGTGCACTTATGCACGCCCCTTACAGACCTCTTAGGAATGTATTTTATGTATTGCATTTAACAAACTCTAAAACCGTTGAGGAGCTTATTTCTAAGTACATATATAAAATGACGACTAATTTAATTTTCTCTCTCTTTTATACAAGAAAAGCAACCTGTTTAGTTCGCTCTCGACGGTTTTTTTGTTCACATGCTTCGGAGACACGGCCGGCACAGTCACAAAGTGGGACTGCGATTCTCGGTATACCCAGAAAGCACGGCCTTTGAATAAGTATTCTGGGAATCGTAGTTTCAACTGTTGGGATTAACATCGAGTTCAAGAAAACGAATATAAAGCACCGGAACACACTTTCTCGAGTTGGACGGTTTAGGACTCGGGACTGTCGGAAGCGCGCAGTAGCCAATCAGATCGAAGAATTTCGGGACACCAAAAAAGCCGCAAGAACTTTTGCCTCAACCTATCAATTTTTACACCCGGGAGAGTCCCCCAGCCAATCAGAAAGACTCTGCCCGTTTCCGCCAATTACAAATGAGATTTGCATTTGTTGACGAATTAAGGAATGGTAATTATATTCCTTAGCCCTATCGGAACGAAGCCTGCCGCTAAGAGTGCTTTAAAAGCTTCCGCCTCCTTCACTCGGTCAACGGTGGAGCAGGGAGGAGGACTAAAAAGGCAGGGTAACAAGCTAACTGACAGTAACGCTGACTACTCAGGGAAGGACTTCCGCCACTACCGGTCCATGAGTGTTTAAATCACGTGCCGCTCAACCATTAAGAAAGGGATGGTTGCTAAGGTCTGCCCAGAGACCGCCTCAGCTGTTGCTAAGGGGCGTGGAAACGGAAGTGGAGTTCGCCGGGGTCAGAGGCCGGCTGTGTTGATGTTGACACTAGGCCGGGCCCATAGATGGGCCATAGAAGACGCCGCTGTCAGGAGACCGCGAGAGGCCCGGAAGCTTTAGGTGCCAGCGGGAAAAGGTCCTTTCAGCGAAACTGGCCTGCTCGGGACGGCCGCTTCCCTCTCGGGCGCCTCCTGGGGATTTGAATGCTTCGCTTCCTTCCGCCTCCCTGCTGAGCCGAGCCAAGGCGCCGTGGGACGGCCATACGTTGTGCTTGAGCCTGTCATCCGGGCACTTCCCTCCACCTTCCCTCTCCCTTCTGACTCCTCGCCCCCGACGTCGCCCTTGCCTCCCTCCGTCCGTCCCCCGCCAAGCCTCACCCCCTCCCCGAGCCCTCCTCATCCGGGTAACCTGCCCGTGGCTTAGCCCTCCTCATCCGGCCACCCGGCGGCGGTCGGCCCCCGGTGCGCGGCGGTCTTCGTCCGGCCGCCGCCGCCGCCGCTGCTGCTGCTGCCGCCTCGACACGCGGGTCCTTCCGCGAGGCTCCTGCCCAGGGGTCTCGTCCCTCGGTGCTCCTCCTCCTCCTCCCTGCCCCTTCCTGTCCCCTTCCCTCCCGTCCGCGCTTTGGCCATGACGATCCTGCCCAAGAAGAAGGCCTGCCCGGCTGCCGGAGACGGAGATAGGGACCAGCCCGGCTCGAGAGGGGGAGGCCCCGGCGGCCCAGGGGGGCCCGGCGGCGTAGGCGGCCCTGATTCCCGGGGCTGCTCCGGCGCCGATTCCCACCCGCGCGGCGTCGGCGTCGGAGGAGGCGTCGGACCCGGGGATCCGCATTCCGGGCGCGGCGGAGCCCGTCCCCGAGCTTCGCCTCCTCCCCCACCGCCGCGCTGGGGGCTGCCCCCCGCTGGGTCCCCTCCGCCGCCCAATCCCGGTGTTGGAGCCGGGGGCGACGGGCCCGGCCTCGGCCTACTCGACCCCGGAGCGGCCGAAGCGCGGGGCGGAGTAGGCGGCGGCTGCTGCTCCGGGCCCGGCCACAGCAAGCGGCGGCGGCAGGGGGGGCCCGGCGGCGGGCTTGGGCTCGGCGGGGCGGCGGGGCCTGGGGGAGGGGGAGGCAACAGTCCCGAGCAAGATGACGTCGGCGCCGGTTACAACAGCGAAGATGAGTACGAGACGGCGGCAGCCCGCATCGAGAGCATGGACCCGGCCACCGTAGAGCAGGTACCCCTCTAGCGAAAGGGCCCGAAAATCGAGACGGGAGGCCTCTGGACGGGCAGGGAAGAACGGAGGGCATCGGGCTGGAAGCCACCTTTGGTGTGAGAGCCGAGGGAGGGCATCGGCTCAAGTCTGGATTAGAAGACAGGGATGGTTGACTTAGCGCTCCCCCCCCCCCCCATAAATGGTTAGACATGGTCAACCGAGATGTGGCTAAAAAGTACGTGGCTGGCCTACCAAATTGATGCCCCTGTGGTATTCCCGATGAGTTTAACCCTTGATGCACAGGTTTCCTGACCATCTGCAACTGCCGCCTAACCTGTATGACCTGGATGCTATGCCTCTTTTTTCTCTTGAAAAAAAGTTGCACCATCTTTAATTTTTAGTTTGCTTGTCCGTGGCAATGAGGTGTGCAAATTCGTGTGTCTGAAATAATTTGCTGAATTGTCAGGATTGCATCACAAAGAAATAATCCTTTCCCTATCTGGATATAGGTCTTTGCCATTTTTATTTAGGAAAGGAGTTGGATCAAAAGGGGATTGGGGGAGGGGGGGTATTGTAGTAAGGTGTTAGTATGCGATAATCCTGAAAGGAAGAACAGTAATTGAGGATGTGGATGAGAAAGTGAACCTCTTCTGCTAAATCTGCTTAGCTGATAGTGACCATGACTTTGGCAATCATGGAATATGAAGCTATACTAATGTATGGGGATACTGATGTTTGGGTTCAAACATGTGAAGAAGTGGGGAAGCTGTCCACTGGAGTTCTATGTCCTGTTTGGGAATAAAACAACCTTAAATCAAAGAAAACTTTCTTCCCCAGATTCCAGTTTGGTTTTTGATAGCAGCAATAATGATATTGTGTCTCTTGTTCCTGTTTTTATATCATTTAAAAAACATTTCACTCCCCCCCCACACACAAATTGGTTAAGCTAGTTGATTGATGGTTAACTTTTATTTCTTATGTAATCACAACTAGGATATCATATCTGGTGATGTGTACGAGAGATGGATTATACCTGGTGAGGGTTAAAAAAAAAGGTGGGCATGAAATTTTAACATTAGTGGTGGGCAAAAAGGGAACAAGAGTTCCATTGTAATCAGGAAAAAAAGGCAGGTTTGTTTTAGGTTGAGAAAGTATAGCTGTAGAAGTCAGTGAAAATTGTGATTTTTTTTCCTGCAGTTTTGGAAGAGTTGCAAATATAGGTCTCCATGCTTGATTATTACTGATTAATCTGTGATGACAGTTATGTATTTGGCAACTGCCTAACAATGTGGAAGATATCTATACAAGAAAGAGTTTGCCTATTGTGAATTGGAGAGACTGAGGAAAAGTTTGATGGAAGAAATACTAACCGTTGCGGTTACAGGTCCAACAAGCTATTCAGAAATTAGATTCCAGCATTTATATGCCTGTACAGTATGTATGGCTATATAACATTGATTAGGTTTTCACTTATGTCTAATTATGAAACCCAGAACATTTGTTTTTAAATAAGCTGTTCTTCAGGGCTGGGCAATGTGAACTTTTTAAAGTGGAAATATTTAATTGAATTTAAAATGTAATGTATGGTTAGTAAGCTTTGAAACCCTTCCATTTTAAGAATAAACAGATTTCTTTTTGATCCATTAATTGCCCCCATGATGTTCTCAATAGTGCTATTGCTAAGCATATGCCAGACTTCCCAGATAAACCAGACGCATGATCGGTTGAGCTAATTCTGCTTTATTGTGAGGTACATTAACAGAATCTTGCAAGTCTGAAAGTACAAATCTCCTGCTGTCTCCTTTACAGTCTGAGAAGAGGTTAGGGAGGGTCCTTGTTGAGCCTATTTCTCTACTCGTTATGCTCTCTCTTACCTGATCATTTCCTAGGCAGCATCTCCCCATTCACTCTCAACTCAAGATGTTTCTTACATAACATTTCAGCATGCTTAAGTTTTAACTTTCTTTATAGTATGTCATTTCTTGAGAGTATGTCAGTATGTTTTACCACGCTTTATTACCAGAGAGCCTTCTTAGCTCAGTTGCTGTAAGATAGGTCTTATGGAACATGCGGAAGAAGTTCTGGTATTTGTGATTCAAATCCCTGGCTTGAGGTAAACTAGAAGACTGTCAAAATTGTGAAATACAAGTGAGTTCTCTTTATCCCAACATACCAGTGGGAAACTAATTTGAGTTAGGCACTACCAGGCTGGCTCTAAAGCAAAATTATTCAAGTTTTTAGCTTAAAAATACTGTACTTTCCTTGCCTTTAAATCTGCTGTAGGATCATTTCATATTGTATTGGATTATAGGCATCTTTTTAGTAAAATTAAGCCATTTGAAGTTATTTCAGCTAAAGAGATACGTGATGTTAACGTGGCAAAAAAAGTAGCTGGAATATTCTATACTACCACCCTAGCCTTCTTTTAGAATTGATGCGAAATCTGGATGACAAATAGTTGAAACAGAACACTTGACTTGGAATTTAACTTAAGGTTCTGGCAGATGTAGCAATTTAAATACATTAAAAAGCCAGATTCCCTCTGCCATCGAAAAAGAAGGCAAAGCAGCTGTTTTAAACTGTAGCACTGTGAATTTGAGTCCAGCATTTGAGGGAAAACCTATTAAATGCAACAATTAGATGACAAAGCAAGTTGCTTTGGAAAATCACCAAGCTTTGTGAACTGAAAAAGCCCATTAAATGTTTATACTGATGTATCTAAAAGTTTGGGGCAAGTTAATTTGTCTTTCATCACAAACCGTCAAATCAAAAAGTTCTTAATTCACTTAAAAGGGTTTTGAGTAGCAGTGCAATTCACTTAAGTTCTGGGACAGGCTAGCTTGATACCCTGTTTGTAAGTGTGTGGTACTAATGTGCCAGATCCTAATTGGTGTACTATATTCTGTTAAGGTGCGCATGATTGGACTGTCAACAATAATTATGAGGAGTAATACAGTCAGGAGCATGTGAGCAATGTATTTTAGGGTTAGACCAGGCTGTTTGTCCTTTCTTCTAAAGAAAGGGGAGAGGATATATTTTGGTAAAATTCATATTAGTCTTGCTTCTTCCATTGACTGGCTCTTCCTCTTTTGATAAAAATAGCATGCTTGTGAGTATGAGGTGGTTTCAGAGGCCTAGAAAGTTGTAACATCATACCTGTTCCACTGAGGTAGAACATTGACATTTGGCAATTATATTATTTAATAAATAGACTGCAGTTTTGGAAAAAAAATCAGTCTGGAAACTTCCCTTGGGATAAGAGATCCAAGTTGTAAGCCAGCTACAATGTTACCCTATTTTAAGGTAAGACCAGAAATTATGGTAATAAAGCAACAGTTATTATAGAGATCATTAAAGAAGACCTACACAATACACAAAGTTATTTCAGACCATGCAAGGCAGCTCATCATAATCTCTCTGAAATGTTCTAGGTATAGCAGGTAGTTTTTGGGAAGATATAAAAAGAATAAACTTATGTATAGATTATAACTGTGTTATCACTGTCATCTTCAATCTGTGACTGTCAAGAGTATTTTTTAGGTATTGGGACTCAAGATACTTATATCTGAGGAGGCAGTTATTTACTCTGAAGTGTCCTACTGTTGTATCTACCTAAGCATCCACATTTCTTGGATTGTAACTTCACTTAATAAGTTGGTCAAGGATTGTGCGAGTTACATAAGAATACAGTTAGAGGGGCCCACATGGAGTAAAGCGAATGTAGTTTTTACTTTTTGTTTTATTTCGACCTGGGTCTTGGAATCAGTATTGATTCTGGTGACTACCTGGAAAGCCTCTGCAGTTTTCTTGGCAAAGATTTCAGAAATAGTCTACCATTGCCTCATTCCTAGGGCTAAAAAGAGTGACAGGCCAACTGGTTTTGTGCCTATGGCAGGACTAGAACTAATGGTCTGGTATCTACCCTGATGTTTAACCACTGCACCAAAGTGGGTGTCTCTAGGTCCCAAAATCCATACTGCAAAATGTGCTACTACAAGTAGTTCACTGGGCTCCTCGACTAAATGAAGTTGGATTCCATATGTGCATGGTTTTTTGTGCATTAAGATTTGCACAGAAAAGGAGTTTGAACTACAGTATTTAGATACAGGTAATCCTCAACATAAAACCACAGTTGGGACAGGAATTTCCATTGTAAGTCATTGTGATTGTAAATCCTTGTGATCATATGATCAGATCTGATTTACCAAAATCCTAAGTCATTTCACTGTGATTATAAGTGTGAATCTAGCTGAATGAATAGTGTGCTTCGCTAAAAACTGGCAAAAAAATTGTTACAAATCATGCTCATTACAACCAGTTGTAAATGTGAGCTGATTGTGAAGTGCCCAGATTGCGATCATATGACTGTGGGGGTAAGGTGAGGGTTGTAAATTCGAATTTAGATCATAAATGATTTTTTTTCAGAGGCTGTTAATTTGAACTGCCATTAAGCAAATGGTCATAAGCCTCAGACTACCTGTGAAGCTATGTGATAGTGCATCATAATTACAGATAAATTAAGCCTTGAGCAAGAGTTGCATCCTATTCTAAGAACATTTGGCATGTGACATGCCATTGAAACATTCATATCAGTAATGTTACTAAGATTTCTCATGATTATGATATATAATTTGGAACAATGGTGCCTTTCAAAATAGTTTATCACCGGTTTGGTGGGCGTGGCTTGGGGGGTGCGCTTTGCGCACATGCGCCAAACACGCACTTTGCGCAGGCAAGAGGCTTTTCGACTCAACCTCCTGCAATTCTGCACTCTCCCTGTCGCTTCAGCAGCTGACGCGCGGTAATCTGCTGTGGCGCGCAAAGCAACTGTGCTTCAAAAGCAGGGAATAAAGGTCAGTATTGGAGCCCAGGCAGGTGGGAGGGCCCAACAGCAGCTCCTCCGAGAAAACCATTTCGGTCTCTGCTGATCTTCGGCGCTACCGATATGCCAGAACCGGGCCGAACCGGTAGAATACCACCACTGATTTGGAATAGATGAAAACTGTGCCTTGCCCCTTCCCAGTTAAGGATATAAGGAAAGGAAGATGTTCATTTTCATATTTTGTAAAGCGGTTAGACAAATTATACTGTCTGTGCGTGCAATTTTTCAGCATGATTGTGATAGGGGTATTACTCATTTCTTATGAATGATTGAAGGTCACTTGCATATAACCAGATGTATGTAACCAGATTGGCTGTAGTCCTGATCTCAACTGGTTTCCTTTGTGCTACCATCCATGTACTTACCCACTCTAATTTCATATCTCAATATATTTATACATTTATTTCTTAACCTCAGTTTGGAAGTGAGTTGGTAGATGAAGGACAATGAAGGTGGAAAAATGATAAATGATTTTTAACAATTGAAGTGATACCTGTATGATTTTTTTACTGAATACAAAGAATATGAACAAGAATGTTACCGTTGCATAGTTGAGAGGTTGAGAATAACTGTTTCCTCATCCTATAAGTTCATGTTGAATTGGGATGGAGAATAGAAGTGCACCATGTGTGATGAAACTTGAAATAAAGAAATACTGCAAAGTCAGGAACTATATAAAATAAGGCCTTCTTTCTCTTGCTGCATGTTCACTTCAAAACACCAAAGATTTATCCTTTTTTTACATATCCCAAAGAGGAGGTATATAACCTTATATATTTTGGCATTATCTGCTAGTTGTATATAAAAAGGAATTTCCTGCAAGTTAAGTGGACAGCAAGGTGAAGGATAATGGATTTTTTTTTTTTGTGCTTAGCGCAGAAATATAGCAAGTTGTTATGTGAGAAACAGAATATTCCAGTCTTTTCTACTGATCTGTAGGGAATAGTAAGTCAGCAGAAGGGTAAATTTTGTGGAGTAGCAAGTCTGGATGTGTTGTTGATGTTTCTTGAAGTTTCTATAGCCTGGGTCATCCTTCTAACTCCCTAGCTCTTCTACCTATTGCTGAGAAGTCTGGGAATTAGAGTCATCATATACCAGTACGTGATATACTCAGGCTGCAGCACGTACCCATTTCTTACAATAATTACACTGCATTTTCTTATTATATTCATCTTCTCTGCATTTTAATGTGCCAGATTGCCTAGAAAAGTTTCTAATGAACTAATCAACCTAAGTGTCATAGTGTTCCTGCCTTATCCAGTGAAAAGTATAAGTTCTTTTAAAGCCTATTAAGTCTAAATAGTCACATTGTGTTGTTACCTGGTAATACAGGTGGTCCTCAAGTTACGACCACAAAAATTGAGCCCAAAATTTATGTTGCTAAGTGAAAAATTCGTTAAGTGAGTTTTGCCCCATTTGACTACTTTTCTTACAACATTTGTTCAGGGAATCACTTCAGTTGTTAAATTGGTAATACTGTTGTTAAGTGAATCTGGCTACCCCATTGACTTTGCTTGACAGAAGGTCCCAAAAGGACATGACCCCGGGACACTACAACGGTCGTAAATATGAACCAGTCGTCAAACCTCCGAATGCAAATCACATGACCATAGGGTGCTGCAATGGTCATAAGAGTGAAAGTGGTCATAAGTCAGTGCCAGCTTAACTTTGAACAGTCACTGAATGAACTGTGGTAAGTGGATGGCTACCTGCAGTAGAATTCATTAGAGATCTTCATGCATATAAGCCTAAGGAATTTTCACAGGATAATAAAAACTTATTGGTTCCCCCCCCCCCATTTCCCCTCTTTTTCCATTTTTTCCCTTCAGTGATAAAGACTGCTAAATTGGCAGGAGAGCCATAAAATCACAAACATCTGGAAAACACTAGTTGGAGAAGCCAGATCTGTATTCTCTTTGCTAAGTATTAATTGATGGTGAGCATGCCAGTTTGAAAAGTAGCCAAAGAAGGAAGTTTTACATCAAAACATAGCACTTGAAGCATCCACAGTAGTTGTTTTCCTGTCTGGGGGTATATTCCTATTTGTTCATTGTTGGTCTTTGTCTCCAAGGAAAACAGTTGGAGTAAGCCTAAACTTCTAGTAATAAAACAACTATGAATTTGAAAATTTTTGTTTTCAATCTAGTTTCAGGTATGGAGCTTTTAAGAAACCATCAAGATGTTGTTTTGAAGCGTCGGTGCTCCTTTTTAATACAGGATTCATTAATTAGTGGTTTGCTTTATGCTCTTTTTGTAATCTTGTAGCAAAAAACATTCTGTTGGACTGAGAATTGCATTTGTGGTTTTCAGAAAATTGTTGCATGATTGAATGTTTACAAGATTATAGAGTAAAGTCAGAATTAAAGGGAAAAGAAACACCAGTTGAGGTTTTCAGAGGAACTATCACCTAATCTTCCTTATGCCCCTAACCTAGTGACCTGACTCTGCAAATATCCTCTTTCCCTAATCTGTTCAAATTCAATATTACTGGGGCTGATAGGGAATAGTGAAAAGATAGAATTGCTAACAAAGGGAATAAGAAAATCTTGAAAACCTATCTTTTTCTGTTGCCAGTAGATGGCAGTGAAACTATTTGAGCCAAAGACAAAAGGCTCAATAAATTTGGCATAGCATTCTTTTGAATTACCATTAATGTAACTTTTTTGAATTACTTGTGTGCCATCATGTTGGTATCAACTTTACTGGTTACTGGAAGACAGTATGTTGTTGGTCATTAAGTGAGCATTTCTTGAACAAAGTAATGTACCTATTTAATACAGATATATCTCAATTAGCGCAATAAATGAATCTCACAAAAATGGTTGCATTATTCAAATTTTACAATATTCAAAGTGATATTTCTATGAAAAATAGGGTAATTGGCTCTAGGATGAAACATAAATGTTTACATATTAATGAAACACTGTAAAGGAGGATACATGCAAAGTACATTTGCTATCTCCTATATTCTGCAGGTGCATTAAAAACAAGTTCCTATCACTTCATAATTTGCAGTAAATCAAGTATTGTGCTATTCAAACTCACACTAATTGTAACCTACTGGTATGCTTGAAGCAATGATATCATATGAAATTGTGAAATTTACTTTGAAAGTGACTAAATATGTTTATTTAGGAGAGAAGAAAGGATTATTTAATCAGAATGTGAAGAGGGTACTTTTATTTCTTTTTTTTTCTTTTGAAAAAAAGCAAATTGCTAATCCTCCTATAGGTTGCAGAGTTGGATATATGGGTAGGATAATGCAGAAAACAGAATTGTACAACCAGGCATGACTTAAGTGCTATTCTTAAAGCGCTGGGTATTTGCAAAAAATACAGGTGTTGTACCAAAATGAGCTTGTAATCATGAAGCCTCTGGAAGGATGCCTTGTCCTGTATGAGTCCCTTAGCTGTTCTCTTCCTGCGTCATTACCTCTCGCCTTCTCTGTGCAACAAGCATGGAAGGTGAAGGAGTTTAATTTGACTTTTGAATATGGGAATTGTGCTTACTGGGTTCAATCTAAGAAGTTGGGGCTGACCCGTAAAGCCTTAAATGGCTTAGGATCAATAAAGGGATTACTTCCACTGTTGCAAACCTGACAATCTGTCAAGGTTTGTAGGAAGAATCCCATGCTGTCAACAGCCCATCTTTCCGGCACGCATAGGAAAAGAGCCTTTTCCTCTGTTGCTGTCAGAAAAAGGAGCACTTCCTTAGGAGTTTCCCATCAGGTTTTTAATTAATTGGATGCGGTACAAATGTTACCGTTAATTTATGTTTTGTGCTGTTTCAATTTTAAGTATTCGTTAGCTGATTTACATTCTTATAAGTAAAAAGGCAAACTATAAAACAGATATATAAATAAAATTGTGCATGTTTCTATTAGTGCCAATCCTATATAATTCTATTCTTGGTTACAGCACAATTTGGAATTAACTGGGGCCAAGGTAGTAATGATAATTAACACAGGGTTGTAATGATCGCTGCTTGGTGTTTCCACAGCCTCTAGTGGGCAGCAGAGTAACTTATTGCATGTGGATAATCTTTTTTCTCCAATGTGGCTTTTCCACCTGGTCTCCCTTTTTATAAGTAATCATGGGTAAAACAGGAGAGAAAGTTGGTTATGTTGCCCTCCCTCATTTGTGGGATGGGGATGCTGTCTAACTTGCTGACATCTGCCCCTCATGTCACCAGCAGGAACACAGGTTCGAGAAGGCGCTGAGAGAGAAGAAAGGGTTCATCATAAAACAGATGAAGGAAGATGGGGCCTGCTTGTTCCGGGCTGTGGGTAAGTCCTGCCTGCTGATGGGATCTACCTTAGAGACGTTGGACAGCAGGCAGCACTCAAGCTGAAATGAATCTCTTCCCTCAGTTTTTAAAGTCACATATAGCCTCAGGTCAAATATTTACACTGTGTTAGTTATAGTATTTCAGATCCAGTGTTAAATTTCAGTATTGTAGATTAGATCGTTAACATTTAACATTTGATAACTGGTATTGCAGCTGAGTTTAAAAAATCCAAATGTCCAATACCCTATTGAAAATGGAATCCAATTACTGGCATATTGGAAGTAAGGCGATCATCTTGATTTTTTTGTCTGCCCTGTTGCTGCCACAGTTACACTTTTAACCTCATTGGTTCCTTGAGCCAGAGACCTAGTAGTGGGATGGGATGGAGTCAAATACTTGGGCAAATTCAGACTTCCAGTATTTTCTCTGAGCGGGAAATGTTAGTAGCTTTTAACTTTTGCTGAGGAAAAACAATCTACGTATACTTTATTATTTTATTTTATTAGCTAAAACTTTTGGCATTCAATACCTGTTGTTGGTTATCTGATTGATGTTTGTGGAAGAATCTGTTGCCATGTATATACCAGTGATGGAAAATCTCCGTACCACTAGTTATTTTCTTTTCCCCAAAACAGAGAACCTTCTTCAATTGGGAATGCCTCCTGCCTTATAAATCAGGAAATAGGCATGTTGGCAAAGCGGAGTTGTTGCTTAAAGACGCTAAGGCTTTATTGTGTTCTACTCAATGGTGGATAGCCTATGGGATTGCAAACTAGAAACAAAATTTTTGCACTCCGTCCTCCCCACACTCCTGAAGGGGTGGGATGAAAAATTCTGGCCATATTTATATGTTTAAGGAGCAAATAAATGTCAATTGGTCCATTATCTAGATATTTGTATTGCTTTAATACATCCAATTTGGTTGATCTGATATTTATTCTGTACAGTCTTGATATTATCTCAAACTCTGTATGTATGTATGTCCAAAACTCATTATTTATTTTATTCATCAATTTGTCATCCATTTTGCAGTTCAGACAAAATTTAACATCTTAGTTTTCTTCCTTAGCGATCCTCTCACTGATTTTTTTAAAAAAATCTATCAGTATTCTTCTTTATTTGATTAGCTCCAATTCTTAACTCAGAAATTCTACTCTCACTTGTTCACAATCATGCAAGTTTTCCTTGGACAGAATAGTGAAAATCATGTTCATTGTCATTGGCAGGCAGAAACCCTGGTTAATTTTACTCTTGTAACTTCAACTTTATATTGTTCCAGCTCCAGTCACTCTATAGTTTTATAATTCTTATAATGCATTGCCTTTTTGTAAAGCCCTAAATGGTTTCCTGTCTGTATTTCATATAATGGCTGTTCTTTCATCTTCTTTGACTTTCCTCTACATCCTTATCTGCAATATACCTTTGTCCTTTTGAGATAGGGAACATTTGATCTATAACCTGGATGTACCCAGTTGGACTTCCTCTTTCAGCCCCAGTTTGCTATACCTTCTGTATAGCTATGACACCTTAAAAGATTGCAGCTTTTCAAATGTGCTTGTGATTTATTTATTTATTTTTTTGGGGGGGGGCTACGACATGGTGTTACCTGGGTAAGGAAGAGCCAATCTCCCCCCCCTTCATATGCTATGACACTTCCTTTTCTGCAGCACAGTTGTTCTGAATGGATACTTTTTAAAGGCCAAATGTTGAATAATGAAGAAAAGTTTTGCTGGGGAGAAAAGGGGATATAGAGGTCAGAAGGAAGAAAGTATGATTATGAGATAACTCCATTTGCACCATTGATGATATGTGGCTTTGAGTATATTTCCTGCAGAAAAAATTCTGCACTTTGGGTGGAAAAGATTTCTCATCTCTAACCCTGCTTCTGTTGGCAGAGTTTTATTAATTCATTTGTGGAATGTTGTAGTCCTACAATCATGTATGTGTGATGGTATTCTTTTCCAAAGAATTGTTGTAAATTTGATAGGCAAACAAGAAAAAAGAGTGCTTAGGGGGAAAAAAGGAAAAATAAGACTGAGAAGAATGTCTTGATTTCAGTTCCATGGACTTTTGCTTAGTTATAATAAAGTACAGGTAGTTTTTGCTTAACGACAGTAATTGGGACTGGCAACTCGTCAATAAGTGATGCAGTCATAAAAGTGCAAAGTCACATGACTGCACTGACTTACGACAGCAATTGCAGTAGTTATTAAGTGAACCCATAATGGGTCATTAGGTGTCACATCACACGATCACTATTTGCGACCATCTTCTGGCTTCCCCATGAACTTTGCTTATCAGAAGCTGGAAGTGAAGGTCGCAAATAGTGATTATATGACGGTGGGGAAAGGCAACAGCCACAATTATGAGGGTTAGTTGTAAGTCTCCTTATTTGGTGCTGTCGTAACTTTGAACATGGTTCAAAGTTCAAGTGATTGTTACATGAGGGCTTTCTCCTCCATGCTGTATCGAGAGCCCAGGATGGGTTGACCTCCCCCATGCCTGCAGTTTGGAGGGATCGTAAACACGGCAAACTGATAAGAGCTCAAGCCAGCTGATCGTGTAGCTGGTTGCTGTGTTTTTCCCTTGCTGACTTCGCTCGGGGCTCTGTATAGCCTAAGGAGCGATTCTTCAATCTTGGAGCCTGTTTTCCTGTAGTCAGCAGCCATCTTGGATTCAAGCCTTCCACCACGAGGTGAGCGGCCATTTTGTAAGCCCGGGGGCCATTTATACCCTAAGGGGCTTAATAGAAAAATTTCTAAACAGCTTCTTTCCAACACAGCCTTTATTTTACAAATGGACCAAGATAAGGCTCTGGCAGAGCTTTCCCCCCCAGTGGAACAGTCTCTTAAGCCCAATAGGAGAAAAAGACGTAGTCAACGCACCCAATCAGTCCAGAGGGAGGTGGCTGCTAAAATCAAAGCTAAGGCTCTAGCCCCTAAGAAGGCAACTCAGGCTGAATTGAGGGCAGAGAAGTGCAGACATGCAGCTCTAGAGAGGCAGTTCAACAGAACTATTCAACAGAAGGGAGTGCAACTACAGCATGTTTCAGGTGATACTCATGGGCCCGAACCAAGCCCTCCCAGGGGAGGAGAAGTTATCTATGAACCTTTCATCCATCCTGGTCTCCTGAGGCTCTTGCTGTACAGTCAGATCCTCAGGATTTAAGCAGATCTGGGCCTTAACGCTTCGGTGCCCTATGCTCCTCCCCCTCCCTCCAGGCCTCGAACCTCTCCTCAATCTAGGCCTGAAGCCACCTTCACTCCCACAGCAGCGGGCCTTCTGCCTCTACCTTTGAGCATAAACCAAGGGATATCCAAGAGGTAGTCTCATCAGCCATTAGGCAGGGATTGGCTGAAGGTTTCAAGCAAATTCTTCAACCTCTGGAAAGGGTTCAGGCCCTTCTCCCTTCTCAATCTATAAGTTCCTTGCCTCATCATCCTGATTTACACCGGCCTCAGGACCTCAGGGTCCATTCTTCTCTACCAGATTGGGAGGAGGTTGATGAGGAAGGAAGGCCTTCACCATTTGAACACAGTTACTCCTCTCATTCAGAGTGTGAAGAGGGTGAGATTTTTGACCAAAATCTTTCAGAGGAAGAGGATTCTCTCCCAGAGCAGACATCCTCTGCATTGGTCTTCAAACCTACTCTCTTCAGACCATTACTCAGTAAGGCCTTGGTCACTACCAAGCTGTCGCCAGAGGAAGTGGCTCCCGAGCCACAAGGAAATCCCTCTAGCCAAGGGGATTCGCTCTTCTCCAAGCCTGTAGTGCATGCAGAGGTTTTGCCTTCTCCCATTTTGTTCCTGGACATGGTCAAGGAACAGTGCACTTCTCCTTTGGCAGGTCCTCGCCCATCTTCTCTAGATAAGCATTTCTACAACGTTAGCGCAGCTCTAGACAATGCCCTGGCAGTGCCTTCTGTTGACATTCCGGTTCTGGCCTCGTTCTCATCTTCTGGCACTCCCACGGAGCCAGAAGATATCCTGAAACCGGATGATAAACGTTCCGAACAGACCCTCAAGCGCAATCACCAGGCTGCTGCTTGGGCTGTTCAGGCTTCAACAGCAGCATCCTTCTTCACCAGGGCATCCATATGGTGGCTGTGCCAAATCCAGAATAGATTGCCTGCTTCTGACCTTCGGTCTCACCAAGACCTTAATAAGATTATTGCAGTGGCGGAATTCACTGCGGATGCCACTCTCAATTCCGCCAAATTTGTATCCAAGGCCATGGCATCTTCTGTAGCAGATGGCTCTGAAATTGGCAGGCGGAGTCACGCCGAAAATGGAAGCTGGCTTCAGTTCCTTTCGCAGGCGATAAGCTTTTTGGTGATGCTCTGGAACCTTATCTGATCGAAACCAGAGATAAACGTAAAATTCTCTCTTCCTCTGGGAAGAAAGCCGACTATCGCCCTGCTCCTTATTGCCCTCCTGCCTTCCGAGCGGAGACCTCATCTCGCTTCCCCTGCTCTCACAGGCTATGCTCCCAACGCCAAGACCAACGGGCGGAAACATCTGGCAGGCAACAACTTTCTGCTGGTAAACGGCCCTTTCGGGGGGGAGGGGGTCGTTCCTTCCGTCACTCTAAGTAATCCCTCGTTCTCCCCACCCATCGGAGGTCGCCTAGCCTTCTTTGCCTCCAAATGGGAGGAGTCAACAACGGACGCCTGGCTGCTCAGCACTGTTAGGTCAGGGTTACAATTGGACTTCCTAACCCCACCCCCCCAAATTTTTTTTGATCTGTCCTGTGTCTCGGGACATTTCCAGGCAAGCCCTCATGAATCAGGCCATTCAGCACCTTCTTGAAATCAGGGCTATTCAACCAGTTCCCCCGTCTCAACGGGGACATGGGCTTTACTCTCGCCTTTTCATCGTTCCCAAAGCCTCAGGGGGGTGGCGAGCCATCCTGATCTCAAATTTCTCAACCAATTTGTAAAATACAGGCGGTTTAAAATGCAGACTCTGCATTCTATTTTAGAGAGCATTCGGGAGGGCGACCT